GCCTGAAACTCAACATCAAAAAAACTAAGATCATGGCCACTGGTCCCATCACCTCCTGGGAAATTGAAGGGGAAGATATGGAGGCAGTGACAGATTTTACTTTCTTGGGCTCCATGATCACTGCAGATGGAGACAGCAGCCACGAAATTAAAAGACGCCTGCTTCTTGGGAGGAAAGCGATGACAAACCTCGAAAACATCTTAAAAAGCAGAGACATCACCTTGCCAACAAAAGTCCGAATAGTCAAAGCTATGGTTTTTCCTGTAGTGATGTATGGAAGTGAGAGCTGGACCATAAAGAAAGCTGACCGCCGAAGAATTGATGCCTTTGAATTGTGGTGCTGGAGGAGGCTCTTGAGAGTCCCCTGGACTGCAAGGAGAACAAACCTATCAATTCTAAAGGAAATCAACCCTGAGTGCTCACTGGAAGGACAGATCCTGAAGCTGAGGCTCCAGTACTTTGGCCATCTCATGAGAAGAGAAGACTCCTTGAAAAATACCTTGATGTTGGGAAAGAGTAAAGGCAAGAGGAGAAGGGGACGACATAGGATGAGATGGTTGGACAGTGTCTGCGAAGCAACCAACATGAAATTGACACAACTGCGGGAAGCAGTGGAAGATAGGAGGGCCTGGCGTGCTCTGGTCCATGGGGTCACGAAGAAAAAGTACCTTATAAATAACCAAAAAAAGTCCAGTATTAACTTGGCTCATCTATATCCCAGTTTCTTTTCGGCAAAAACAACAGGAGTCGGCATTCCTGATCTTTTCAGAAGACAGAGAAAATACTTCATTAATGTGTGACAGCAGGATGAAGTGGTTAAACACTTCAAGCAGAAATTGATTGTATGAATATTAAACCTACATTTACTTGTTATTTTCATCTGTGGAATTCTGGGGGATATGCATTGCTTTAATTAATTACTAATGTGCCAAACTTGGGCTACTTAAAAAAAATAATAATATTGGATACCATAACAGAAAAATAGTAAGACGAAAGTAAAAAATGTTCTTTCAAATAAAATCAACAACAACAATGTATTATTTAGAGTGGTCGAAATGACTAGATAGGTGGGGTATAAATAAATAAACAAACAAACAAATAAAAAAATAAATAAAATATTTCTATTTTCCTCCTAACAATTCCTATAAATTAAGCAAGATTGCCATAAAAACTTAACCCACTCACACCAATAGCTTACAATCGGATAACAGAAACGAAAGAACAAACGGGAGACAAAAAAAGAAGCAAAATTCATGCCTCTCAGACTTTCCTCCCCCTTGCATTTCATGTTTCCATCTAAGATAGAGAAACGGTGGCATAACGTGGGATTGTTAGCCTACAATTCCCAAGAGCCTCACCTACCAAGGTTAATCGCAAGGAATTGTGGGAGTTGTAAAAAAAATCGGTCGAAAAGTGCTCCCGTTTATTTAAGCCCTTTGTGTCCTTAGAGGCCTCACATACCCAAGAATAGAAGGGATGTGGAAAAAAAGTTTCCGTACCTAAACCATCCTTTAAACTAAGAAGTAAAATGAAGCAACCAAGCGCGTTGAGAAGCATTTTGACCCTCCGGGCGCCTGGTATTGACGTAATGAGATATGGCCGCCTCCGTCGTGTTCCCACGTGGTTGGGATTCCAGGAAGCGGCGCGGTTGAGTCTACCGGATTACTCCAAAGGAAGTCTCGGTTGTGATTGATCGTCTCGTGGAAGCTGGTGGTGTCCTGAACAATTGTAGAGAGAAGTGTGAATGTGCTGCAGAAGGGAGGGCGAAGAAGTTGGTAAGAGGCTCCATTTTCCGTGCTCCGTCCTTGTGGAGCGGAGTGTCTCTTGTTTTTTAAGGACATTTCAGGCTTTTGTAATTCCTGTTTATGTACCGCCCTTTCTTCTAAGAGCTGAGGCTTAGGAGTGATCCCATTTTGCCTTCACAACAACCCTTTAAAGGTAGGATTAAAAGGGTCATCTCAGTGAGCTTCATGGCAGCGGGAGAATCTGAATTTAGGGCTTCTGTCATTAACTGGAAGTAATTGAAATTCCTGAGCAGATTTGGAGTAGGATGGGCCTGACATACACGTGTAGTGGTTCCATATTTGGTCGACTCAACTATTTTAATGCAGTTACTGCATACAGCTTCTCCTGGGGATGATTGTTATGCAGTTTGTTTTTGTTCACTGTCCTGACTGGTGATTCTTGATTAGCTGAGATTTAAAAGGTGCCTCTTATCTTCCTCCTTGTTTTTAAAATAGTTAGTTTCTCCCCTGATACTTTTATGCTTTGATCTTATAATTGCTTCTTATAATTTTTTCCATCTTGTGGCATTTTGGGATTATTTGTTCCTTGTTTGTTTTTCGAGTTAGTCAGACTTAACAAATTATTGACACAAATTTGACAGGGCAACCCCCCAACTTTGTAGTTAGGCAAGATACACTGTTGAATTACAGCTTGTTGTACAGCTGTTTAAAAATAGATACACTTTGAAGGGGAAACATACAGGTCTTATTGTTAAACATTGGCTACGGTGTCATAATGTAACCCTGATTTCTCCAAATTTGTAATTTTGGATTATGGTTGACCTGGTAGATAAATATTCCAAGGTTTATGGAAATGGAGGCCTAAGTCAATTCTTTTGTCCAACCTAAAGTAGAGCCATTGCATCAGTGGGAAAAAGTTTAGTCAGCAATTATGTAGATTCCATTGATTCAGTAAGACTCTTCAGTTGGGAGCTAGCTGGATAACAGTCATTTAGATCAGTGGTTCTTAACCTTTGTTACTCAGATGTTTTTGAACTGCAACTCCCAAAAACCCCAGCCAGCACATTTGGTAGTGAAGGCTTCTGGGAGTTGCAGTCCAAAACTCCTGAGTAACCCAAGGTTAAGAACCAGTGATTTAGATATCTGGCTACAGTCATTTAGATATCTGGCTACAGAGCCAGAGATTGGGATTTCGCTTCCCCACTGTGCCTCCTGCAAGTAGATCCAGCCTGTAGGGCCTTAGGCAAGCTGCACAGTCCCCAAGCATCCCCAGAAAAAGAGAATGGTGAACCATTTCTGATTATTCTCTATCTGGAAAGGTCACAATAAGTCAGAATCTATTTAGTACAGCATGTTGATGATGATTCCAATTAAAAATAAAAATTAGATTTATTTATTACTTACTACATTTGTGTCCTGCCTCAAGGTAATATATCTTTATGGCAGCACTCTGAAGTAGGTCAAGGTGAGACATTGTGATAGGCCAAAGGTTGCTCAGTGGCCAGAATCCTCATGTTATTTTGCACTTTGGGAGACAAATCGTTATAGGTTGCAAAGTTGGGATAGATATTTTTAGTTGCCCACTAAGCTGCACTCAGCCTGCAACAGATAATGTCTGTGTTGACTCTAACTTGCAGCAGTTTGCCTCCCAATGTTATGCCATGGACATTACGTTCCTGAATGATGTAAATAGAATTTTGGCCGTTGAGTTTCATGGGTCCAAGGGAGAGTTAAATTGTAATCTCCTGAGTTCTAATCCCAACGACGCAACTGCTGCAACACACTGGTAGTGCAGTAGTTGTCACTTTTTATCATTTTGTTATGCTGTAGCATGTAAATGTGAGTAGATAAATAGGTACCACCACAGTGGGAAGGTCATGGTGGTCCATGTCTAGTCGCGCTGGCCATGTGACCACAGAAACTGTCTTTGGAGAAACGCTGGCTCTATGGCTTTGAAATGGGGATGAGCACCGCCCCCTAGAGTCGGACATGACTGGACTAAATGTCAAGAGGAACCTTTACTAGTTCCAATATTCTGCGACCTGAGGGATGTCCACCAGCAACACATGAGCACAAGTGCAGTGATCAGGGCCAGACCTAGCACCATAGTCAAGGCAAGAAGCACTGCTGTCTGTTATGAATTCAGGCAATGTTCCCTCTGATTTCAGGCATCAAATCTGTTGATCAGCATCATCTGTTGTTCTCATAACTTTAATACATGAGGAATACGCAGGCTATTTTTTGATCAATCAAATTCCTAATTCTGTTTTTATTTCTTTAGTAAAGAGCCAAATTCAATTCCTTCCTTAATTCCTTCTTTTCATGTTTTCTTACTGAAAAGTAAAATTTTAAATTGTATTTCTTTTGTATATTGATTTTTAACTGCTGTTCCATGTTTATCACAATCTTTCAAGCCCATGGATCCCAGTGTAGCAGCTGCCAGTTACAACATAAGTTGTATGTTCTTCCTGTCTGAAAGTTTTAAAAAATGGAATTAATACCAAATTTAGTGAGAATGCTCTTCAGAAAAATGTGTGGAACCAAATGTTCCAAAACCAGGAAGAGAATACAAGCAAGGGCGTATTGATGCATATAACAATATGAGTTGCTCATGTGAATGATTATAAAAAAGAGTGATTATCAATATAAAGTCTTAATACCTCTGTTTTTAAAATATAAAAAAGCTCAACATACAGGGAAGAACTACCAAAGACAGAAGGTTTCCTTATGTTAGAAATGCTGTCCCCATATCTTTGGCCGGCAGAGGACCTATAACATCTGCGTGTACAAGCTCAAATGCTCTCTTTGTTTTTGTTGTCCTTTTTTTATGAATTTTACAAACCTTAGACTTCTCTAATTTACAAACATCACAGTCTAGATAATTCTTACATGCTTTCACTTCTGCCCCCTTGGCAAAGCTTTCCATTTTCTGTATTACTTTAAAACTTGCATGCCCAATCCTTTCCCAGGAGTAAGAAAAGATTCCCATTTCATTTGTAGTACAGTATAAGATATAACATATGTGATAATAGTATTAAGTGCAGCACAAGAGTGTGTGTCCACATATACACATATGTACATATATATGTACTCCCTTGTGCTGCACTTAATGTTATGATTCTACTCCTTTTTTCATTTCTGTTGAATTCAGCGAGATCATTTTTATTTTGTTGTCCTCCTTTAATCTTCCTCCATTACACAGTTTCCTTTTCCCATCTTTTTCCTGTTTTCTTTAGTAATTTTTATTGTTCTTAAGAATGTTATTTGAATGCTGTCTTTATCTTTATATTTTGTAAGCCGTCCAGAGTAGATTCTTGAATCTAAATGGGTGGGGTAAAAATGTAACAAATAAATAAATAAAATAATAATTTTTTGTATTAAAGGTGGCAAACAAAAAATTTAAAATTATTAATGCCAGTAAAAAATTGAATGGTAAATGATACACTTTGGTTCATTTCCAAGTAAAACATTCTAATCTTCACAGAATTTTTGAAGCAATAGCTTTAGAGTTACAGTAGACCCCCCCTCGACTTTGACCCCTTGATGTGTGATCTGCCTATGCTTTTCAAACCACCTAATTGTGGACAGTGTCCCCTGTAATATCCAGAACATATACCTATAACCACTTGAAGACTAGGACCAATGCTGAGTTGATTGGCAGTGTTGAGAGAACATGTTGATTGGCGGCACTTCAGCTGGCTCAGTCTGCAACTGCGTAGGCTTTTTTTGCCTTTCATGGTGTCTAAGAAGAGGAAAAGTGATGTACTGCGAGTTAAATCTGCCATCACTTTTTCTTTTCTTTTTCTTTCAGCTGTTACGTTTCCTGTAAGGTTTGGCTTATGGCAGCTCATTTTACAACCATCATTTAGGAATCAGTGAGGTCATAAATATGTAAGTAAGGGGACCTGTGGCCCTGTATTCTCTTAAACCACAATTCCCATTATTGTTGTTTGTTTTATGGTTCAGTCCTCCAAGCATGGTGAATTTGATTTAAATCAAGTGGATTTAAATAACTAGTCAGTAAGACTTGATTTAAATCATGATTCTCATACAGTGGGGTCTCGACTTACGAACGACCCGACTTGCGAACAATTCGAGTTACGAACCTGCCCTATAGGGAAAGTAAGGACTCGACATGTGAACTTCCCTCGAGTTAGGAACAGGGAAAAAAGTCCCCCCTCCCTCCCCTTAGAGGCTTCTGGAGGGGGGGAAAGGGTCAGAAACTTAAAAATAAATACTGTACTGTTAAATAAAGTCACTTACCAGGCCTTGGTAGCCCCCAAACCACAGGAAAAAGAGCAGGAAAGAGCTGAAAGCCGACACCCAGAAAGAGCCTGGCAGCCATTTTGTGGTTTTCCCC